CACATTATTGAGCTTCTGGCAGACCATCCTTTCGTCTTGGTCTCAACACTCTTTGTCTCTGCTGACTGGTTCCACACTGGCCCTTGATGATGTCCTGTTTGTTCCTCAGGCCACTGTTTGTCTTCTCTCTATCTCTGCCTTATGCAGTTCTCCCTCACAATACCGTGTTGTTTTTGATCACACTGGTGTTCACATTTCCCTTCCTTCTGGTTCTCTCATTGCCTCTGGTCCTATTACTCCATCTTGCCTGTACGCTCTCTCTCACTTGCCCACTCTTGACCATACCTTCCTTGCTGTTCGCCGTCCTTCCTTAGTCACCTGGCACCATTGTTTGGGTCATACCAATTACCGCACACTCTTTGACATGTCCTCCGCTGGCTTGTTACCTGGTATGCCCATCAATTTTTCCACTGCCCTACCCAAATGTGACTCTTGCCTCCTCGGTAAACAGATGCGTTCCACAGTGCCTAAGGTCCGGCAGGGTGTCCATTTGTCTGAACGACTTGGGTTAGTGTATGTGGACTTGATGGGACCTGCCAATGTGAAGTCTCTTTCAGGAAACCTGTATGCTCTACACATAATAGACGACTTTACATCCTACTCATGGTCTATCTCCCTCCCATCTAAGGATGCTGCCCTCCGCCTTTTCACTTCCTGGGCCACAGCACGTATGACTGAAACCAACCTTCTCCTTTGTGCTGTTCAAATCAACAATGGTGAGCTGCTCTCTGCTGCTTTCCGGGCTTTTCTGTCCGATCGTGGCATTCAACTTCAGCGTACTGCTGCATATACCTCTGCATAGAATGGTCGTGTTGAATGCCTTCATTGCACTCTCATGAATTGTGCACGTGCCATATGTGCTTCATGCAACCTTCCTGCCTTCTTGTGGGATGAGTTCCTCTGCACTGTGAATTATCTTACAGTATGTGCCCTCACTCGTGCACTCCATCCGATCACCACCCCATTTGAGGCCTGGCATTCTTGTCACCCTGATCTCTCTACCCTCCAGGAAATTGATTGTTGTGCCTTTGTTCTTATTCAGAACCACCACAATCCTAAAATATATGACTGTTACCTAGAGTGTGTGCTTATTGGCTACAGTCTTGACTCGAAGGCTTTCCATTGCTATCACCCAGAGTCTTGCAAGGTTGTTGAGTCTTTTCACATCTCCTTTATTGAATCTTTTGAGTCTGACAACCCTCCTGCAGTACTGGCCACCAAGGTCATCTCCCCTATTCCATCCTCTGTTGTATCTTTTGCTCCCCCTGTGACACCCATACCACCTCCTCTTGTTCCTGTTGCTCTGCCATCTCTGGTTCCACCCCCTCTCCGTCATTATTCTTGGGTACCTGTTCCTTCTGAACGTTGGGTGGCTGCACTTGACCTACCTTACTCATCTACCATCTCTCATGCTGTTGAGGCCTCTGCGGCTGCTGGCTCTTGTCTCTATACTGCCCACACTTCTCACTTACCCCCCCTCCACCCACCTGCACCTTCTGATCCTCTTGCAGCCTTGCTCTCCAGTCTTGCTGATGTCCCTCCTGCTCTTACCTTGGACATTGAGTATCCTGGTGACCCTAGTACCCTTGCAGAAGCCATGGCTTCTCCGTTTGCTTCACAGTGGTGCACTGCACTACTTGACAAATTTCAGTCAATTTGTGATCTTCATGTCTACAAGCTTGTTCCTAGGTCCTCTGTGCCCTCTGGTTGTCGTATTATGTGTGGTCGCCCTGTTTTCCATTTGAAGTGTGATCACCTGAATGTCCCTGTCCGTTTCAAAGCTCGCTGGGTCTGTCAAGGCTTTGAGGCCATCTTTGGGCAAGACTATACTTGGACATCCTCTCCCACTGTGCGTATGGAATCTTTTTGTGCCCTTCTTCACCTGGCCACTGCGCGCAACTGGGAGATTCATTATATTGATGTAAAGACTGCCTTCTTATATGGTCTTCTTCCTGATGATAAGACATACTATATGGAACAACCCCATGGCTTTGAAGATCCTGACCATCCTGACTGGGTGTGGAAGCTTCTCAAAGGTCTGTATGGGATGAAACAAGGTGGTTGCTTGGTTGTTGGATGATATCATTGCTATAGATAACAAATTCCTGGGGATCCTGGCTATGGCTGCCCTCCAATGCTGTGACATATTCACTGACTTCTGCAAGTAGTGACAGATTAGGAGCAGGAAAGTTGCTGCCACTGTCTGAGATGTCAGATGCAAAAGAAGGCATGCTAGGAGAATCTGGGGATGAGGACAGAGCAGGAGGTTCATCAGGATCAGGAGAAGATGAGACATTCATGAGTGAAGATGGGGGGAAGAATTGTATGGCAACAGCATGGTAAGATCCTGTAGATGCTGATGGGCCTGCATAGTGCATGGGCACACTTTGAGCCAAAATCAACATTCAAAGCATTTGAAATATCTACCTTCGGGAAAGCCTGCGATACCTCAACACAAAAACATCTTTGAGCAAAGTCTGTTCTTTGACATCTTCGAAGCATCATGACCTCACTACAATCTGATCAGGATCTTTTGGCAGCAGCCTTATTCTGGGGGCTTGGCTTTGAGAGAGAATCCCCATCATCAAGAGACTGAGACACCCGATACAGGGCTGTTGGGTGACCCATTAGGTTGGTGCGCTCAGGTTGCAACACCAAGACTTGCAACAGTCGGGTCTCTGAGACTAGCAGGATGTAGCATGTGGGACAGGAGTCAAAACTGATGGAGGCATTGGGTGGGTGTCGGAAGGGTATTGGGATTGTTGTGCACAGTCAGGGCAGTGGAGGTGGTGACTCAAGTGGTTTGGGCAGGATGAGGGATATTTAAGAGCAGTTTTGCATGATTTTAAGATAGCACTCAGCCCCTAGTAGTGAGACTCATGCAGAATCACATCCCCCACTCAGCAGAGCTCAGTCCAGCTTCAAACTATGTTCGAAGTGTTGTGTATCTCTACAAACTACAACTACAACCCTCCAAACCACATCTACAACCATCAAACTGCATCCAATCCTAGTACACCCCCTCCAAAGCATACCCCCGCATACAGCTAAGCACTCCAAAGTTCCACTCCTACATCCAATCCTCGAATGAGACTCAAGTATCTTCAACCAAATTACACTTTGCATTCAAGTTGTTGAGCCAGTTCCCTTTACCTTCCCTCTGCTTCTACAAAGAAGTCGGAGTTTTTGGACGGTCCAAAACAGTCTCATGACGCCATCCTGAGAGATATAGTGAAGCCGTTGCCATTTGAGCAAGCTATCAGAACTACAAGCCCTCACCCCTATCAGCTTCCCTGAGAAACAG